GACTGCTCTGACCGGGATCACAACAGAGCATCCTGGACAGAGCTGAAGAAAAATGTAGAACAAAATTCTAACTCACAAAAAAAGACCAGACTTACTGGTCTGACAGAGACTGGAGAAACCCCAAGAGTATGGCCCCTGCACACCCTTTTAATTCAGTACTGAAGTCACTCCTGAGGACTAGACAGGCCCATAAAACAAACAATAATACCCGTAGGTCAACCATGTATAGGAGACTAAATAGGCACACCAGCCCAGGGGCAAGGACAAGAAGGCAGGAGGGGACAGGAAAGCTATACTAATGGAAATGGGGAACCTAAGGTCCAGAATGGGAGAGTGATGACATGTCGCAGGGTTGGCAACAAGTGTCAAAAAACAGTATATGTGTTAATTTTTTAATGAGAAACTAATTTGCTCTGTAAACCTTCATCTAAAGCATAATAAAATAAATAAATACTGACATGAGGAGTTAAGGTCTGTACTTTTCCTGGTCACTATTATGAACTGTGGTGAAAAAGAGTAGACTATGCCTTTAGGAGAACAGAAAATACCAAAAAGAAAAAAAAGGGGGGACGGGGGTGGTAGGAAAAAACAGGGCTGTAACCTTCCTGCACCAAATCCTCCTAAGGAAAGGGGTTTTTTTTTTTTTTTTTTTTTTAATAACATATAAAAGCAATTCCAAAATATGCATAGGACAAAATAAAGGCCAAAAACATGTAAACATACACACAGTTTTTGGCCTAAACTGATCACTGTGTGTCAGCACGTTAGGATACAGTATTTGCTATAAAGTATGTGTAAGATGATGATGCAGACACCAAAGTTCTTCACATTTTGGAATACATTAGAGTCTTAATGAATTCATTTCATTTGGAATTGGCTCAAGCAAGAACTACTGACGTTTGATTACCACTGTTGATCATATTAAATTTTTCCTGTTTTTTGAGGTACGTTGGCCAGGAATCGAACCCAGGTCTCCTGCATGGGAGGCAAGAATTCTACCATTGAACCACCAATGCCTCATCGTAAGAATTTACACCTTATCAAATGCCCTCAAGAGGCACTGATTCAATGTCAGGAAGAATTCTTTAAAAAGGGAACTTTTAAAGAGTCTAAATCATCAGCCAGAACGGGATAGATGTCTGAAGGCCAAATAGGAAACATGCAATGAGACTCCTTACGGCAGCTGATGGAGAGAAGTAGACTCTTCCAAGGGTACCTGGGGCAGAGGTCCAGCCTGGGAACTGTTGAAACCCCTACTTTCAGAGCAACGAAACTGAGGTAGTGATGTCAATTGGGACAGAAAGACAATTGGATTAAGCTGCCATGTACATATAAAACCAACAGTGGTTTTAAATATGAAGCTTAACCCAAATTCCTGTGGACAGAAACTCCAAGATATAGCAATAAAGCTGCTTCTCACATGGCAACGGGGTGAGACATGAAGATGTATTTACATGTATAACAAATAGAACAATAACTGTGTATATTAAAGCCAAAAATTTTTTTTCTTTTTTAGTTATTGATATTTTAAAGATTCAAACTTGACCCCTTTTCTTTTTACATCATTTTTCTTTTTTTTTTAATGTTGTGCTTTAAGTGAAAGTTTATGATTCAAGTTAGTCTCTCATACAAAACTATATACATACTATGTGACCCTAGTTGCACTCCACATACTGTGACAGCACACTCCTCCTTTCCACCCCATTCAACCAGCTCCTGACCCTCTCTGCCTTCTCATCTCACCTCCAGACAGGAGCTGCCCATTTAGTCATCTACTTGAGCTAAGCAGCACACTCTTCACGAGTATCATTTTATGTCTTACAGCCCAGTCTAATCTTTTGTCTGAAGAGTTGGCTTTGAGAATAGTTTCAGTTTTGGGCTAACAGAGAGGCTGGGGGCCATGCCTTCCAGGAGGAAAGGGGTCTTTTTGAAAATTACATATACTAACACCCTAGTTTGAGGAAGAAGGAAATAGAGAATTACTGTACTCAACAGTAACCCCAAGGTTTCCTTGACTAGACATGGGAAGACAGGAGTAAAGCCTGGCCTCCCTTTCACCCCAGCTCGGTGCTCTGCAGGTCCCCCTCCAGCTGGCTGTTTTCCTCACTGTAAGAGGTATGATCATGGCTGTTTGCCAGGGCAGTCTCAAGTAGTCAGGCAGTTCCAGGCAGTTCTCTCAAACCAGGCCAGGCAGGTGGGGCTCTGAGCTGGTGCAGCCAAAGTAAGCAAGACATCAGAGAGCCTTTCTCTGCGGAGACTGGAAAGGTCAGGCCTCCTTCCTGCTGCCTCCCTAAAGATGGCATATGGAGAATCAGCAAGTCACGGCTAGGACTCACATGCCTTGTGGTCTGGGACTGAGAGCTAGTAATTTCCCTAGCACCCGAGTCACTTTCCTCCCTGGCTGAGGGCTGTTTTTAAAAAACACAATTTATTATTTATATCCCATCTGTCTCTAAAAAAGGATTTCTGGCATGTTCCAAAGTCATATAGCACATGATTAAAACCAAAAAACCTGTTGCTGTCAAGTCAATTCCGACTCACACAAGATTGGTGAGTGAAAATTCATACAGCCTTATGGAGGGCAGTTGCATACACTCTTTAATCCGGAAATTCCCTAAAGGAATTCCAAAGAAACATTTGCACATGTGCACAAAGAAGTAAGTATGAGCATGCTGACTGCAGCAGTTTGCACTGGCAAGCAATTAGCGCTATCTTAATGTCCATCAATAGGATTGGTGGAAAAAAAAAAGTATGATCTCATCATAA